ATCAACTTTATATAACCATCTAAAATTGTAGCAGGAAGCAATTATAGGTAAAATAATTTGGCATCAATATATTCTGGAAAATACTGATAGAAAAAAATCGATGCACCAGCCCTAAAAATATGCGCAACTCTTCGAAAAATAGAAGAACGTTGACCTCAGTCTTCTGGTTATTTCATTATTTTGACAAACAACACCAACAAACAAGTAGAACAATTAAATCTATAAAATTAACAAAAAAATAAATAAAAATAAAAATAAAAATAAAAAATTTTTGACAGAACTCAAAGGCAAAAATATTGAAAGACAAAAACCAACGTGGGTACTTTGTTGTCTTTGTTTCTGAGCAGCAAACGTTGATCCATGGCTCAAACTAACGAAGAATTACCTGTAGAACATCATCAACATTATTAGTTGCGACAGACAATTTTCTTCCCAATAAAAATTCTTATTCAAAAAATCTTCTAGCCTTCTCTTTTTTTTTTTGCCATTTTTTCCCCTATTCTAATGCATGAACAAAAATCTATTCTTCTTCATTTGGGATCGCAACTAAGAAGACAAAAAAACTAGGTACATATATTAAAAAAAGAAATTAAAATATCATAGTTGTACAAAAATATCATGGCATTAACATTAACAGGGAAAAAACTTCGTCTTATTCAATCCAATTGAGTTTAAAATTTAGTGCAAACATATTGGAAGCTTTATTCTGTTATTTTTATTCATTTATTTTTTTCTGTAACAATAACAGCACAACCATCTTTCCTCACTGTTTCAATGATAAAAAATCAAGATGAATTAGATAAAGTCGTTTTAAGTAGACGGATGTCCACTTCATCTGTTCTTCTTCAGTTGGTATCGCAACTAAGAAGACAAAATTGCAGAAAGGAAGAAAATTTTTTGATGTTACCATAAACAGAAGTGATCGTATCTTTGTCTTTTTTTTTGCTTTCCAGCAAAATTACTGCAACCAAATTGAACTAAACTATTCCGAAAACTATGTTGAAATAAACTGAATAACAACAAAAGAAAGCCAAAGTACAGCTTGTAAATGGCCAATTTTTATCAAAGCTTTCCTTTTTTTACAAAAATAAATAAATATGCAAAAATAAAAGTATATGCTTAAAAATCTTAATGGGGCAAAAATTTAAAAAGAAAAACGAGAATAAGAAATAAAAATAAAAAATACAGATAAATAAAAGATTAAGATAAAAATAAGCTGTTGCTGCCTGTTCCCCTGGTCTCCCTCCCATAGTCCACGGTAACGTTGTCAAGCCAACAGAAATTGCCTGGTTCTCAAGGAACCATCAACAACCCCAGCAGCCTCAGCAGTAAAAGCACCCGCAGCTGCGGCAGTAACATCAACAGCAACAGCATCTAACTGTACAGAAGACAGCAGCAACAACAGCAGCAGCAGCAATAGCAGAGGCTCAAGTCGCACTACCCAAACGCACAAAAAATAACCATCACCAGCAGCAGCAGCAGCAGCACCACCCCATCCTCCACCACCATCCATCCTTAAACAACAGACTTTCTTCAATGTTTGCCCTTTCTGCTTTTTCATATGCTATTTCACCTCCCTTCAATGACGTCAACAAAACAAAAAAGAAATAAAAAAAATTATAAGTAAATAAAACATAAGTAAAAATAAAAATATATATTAAAAAAAAAGAATGAAAACAAAAATAAAAAAATTTCACAAATACATATCTCCTTATACCAGTAACCAAAGCTTTATCTTCTCTTTTTTTTTTTTTTTTTTTTTTTTTTTTT